TTGCGCAGAGACAGCTAGCTGTGTCCAAAGGCGTACAGTCCGCAACAGAGAGCACTGTTTACTAATGCGTGTCTCCGTCCGTTTTCACCCAGAACATGTGACCGGGAGGATGATGGCGGCCTTTGCTGAATATTACGACATGGCATCCCCCGCTGCTCGTGAGTGGTGGGGGACCATGAATACTGCATACTAGCCTCTGGCTTCGCCTAGGCCGCCTGCTGCCAGCCAGAGGAGAAGCTCACGCTGTTCCCAGGCTTCGCTTTGCTCCGCTTCCAGTGAGAACTTCCAGTGAGAAGCACTGTAATCTATGCAGAAGCTGTGCACGATGGACCTGGGCTACGCGGGCACCACGATGGGGGGCATCGCGGTGGAACGTGGCAGGGAGGCGTTACAGGGGCAGCCCAGGACAACACGCCCGCGCCTCGTTACAGACGCCAGTCTCCGCAGAGCAGTGTGGCGTGCCTGTATACGGGAACATACTTTAGTCTCAATAATTCATCGTTATGGAGGGATGCTGAATAATTGAACTGGACTTGGAGCTTTTTCTGTGAGATGGAGCTTCGCATATGGCTGTCGGCTGCCTCAGATTCCATGCCAGGGACATTATAGAGGAAAGAGGCAAACTCCAACCCTTCCGCCCCCCCCCCCCCCCCCCATTTCCATTGATCAATTATTCAGCGCCAGCCTCAGATTGTGACCCGAGTTTGGGGCGGGGTGGGGGGGGGGGTGCTCTCAGGATCCCAGCACCGCCGCCTGTTCTTCTGACGCCGTTTGTCCCTCGTCTAAAATCTGCATGCTTGACCCGGTTAAACACACCTCTGTAGCTTGGCGGTGGCCAAAACCACTGCGAACACCAGCTCCGTGTGGAGTGGTGAGACGGCATGATAAAGCATGGCTAGCAAACAGACGCCAGCTCCTTGCCGGTGTCCCATGATGCACTGGCCGAGAAAGCCACCGTCCGGACGCCGGTCAGCCACCCCGGTCCTCACCCCACTGCTCTGCTCCTCCTTAATCAAAGGCGCTGCTGCAGACCCGCATCCTGAATCTGATCCCCAGCTGCCGGGCCGCCTGGGTCTCTGATTAGCACCAAATAAAGCGCTGGTCCTCCTGAGGACCAGCATCACACGGATGAAACGCACGCTGCTGAACTTTACAGCATTTGGATAGCAAATGCGTTCTTTGAAAAGGCAACAGAGCAGCATATTATACAAACCTATCTGAAATATGTATATATATATATGAAATATATATATGCACACAAAAGGCCCTGTCTGTTCTACTTTCACAACGCTTATTTTCAGACTGGGACTGAAACTCCCTCAACCTGCCAAAGACAAGGCTTTCCTGATGTCCTGAGTATCGAAACCGTAAAAATATTCATTCACTTATAAGTAGCAGGTGGTTGAGGCATTAAAAATAGATTTACGGCTCTTTGTAGGGTATTTTATTATAAAATAATCATGGTAATAGGATTAAACAGTGAGAGACAAGCTCACTAGGCCTTATCCTTCTAAAGAGCCATCAAGAAATATTGTATATATGCATGTGTGTCCGCTGTGCTTATTCATGATCTCTTGTCTGTAAATTCTCGCAGACGTGAAGATAATCTGACTCCATCGCTCCATCTATAGTCTAACAGTGTTTTTTTTGCCCTTGTTATTCTGTTAATGTTGATATAATCCTTAAATGTAATTTGGCTTTGGTTTTGTACTGGGTGAAAGATTTGGTTTATTTTTACCAGATAACATTAATATATATAAAATATAATAATATAGCAGGGGTTTGTAACTTTATTGGTATCAGTCTGGTAAAGTCTTTGGACTCCTTCAAAATAGTGATATTAAAATGTTGAAAGATATTGAATTCTGTTGAGGACAAAGTGACAGGCACAGCTAATACTACTGTGCTTTGTTTTTTTACATTTGTTATTGAAGTAAATGCAAAATTTCAGTTTATAAGTTAATGATAATAGAAGTCTATCCACCGCCCCTAAGGGGTTATAATGCTCTGAGTCTGGACTGCGTCTGGCTCATGTCTGGGCTGCGTCTGGCCCATGTCTCACCCTCGTCTGGCCCACGTCTGGGCCGTTGGTTGCTTGTTCACAGCTCCAATTCTAATGTAATACATCCCTAATGAGCTTGCCTGTGGTCTGCTCCAAACTCCCACTCAGGACCTCTGCACTCAAGCCAGTGAGCTGCACTGTGAGACTGGGCGCTGATCATACATAACAAGGAGCTCACAGTAGCCAGGGACAGAGAACACGCCGTGTCTCCCTGCCCCCATCATCCACGATGCAGTGTCAGAGACGCATCAGACGGGGATTCCCACTTTGCGGCCTGAAACATGAGGCTGATCCAGGAGCCACAGTGCGTCTCCACAGTGACTAGCAGCTACACTACGAGAAGCAGTGCAGCAGGACACACAGGGACAGCTTTCAGGTGCATTTGCCTCCAACAGCCATGCCGTATGACACCCATACCACACGAGAGGGTGGAGACTGGTCAGAAATAACACTTTTTAGAGTTTACACAGCTAAATTGGGACAGGCAGCCGCTTCTCCGAATCCTGAGGCCCATGAACAAACATAGCTAATTTGCACAGTTCAGCTGAAGCTCCTCTGGTGAATAAGTACAGTTTAGTCACAGCACGCTGTGGCGGCGAGGTAGCGGATTCACCGTGCCATGGTCACCAGCCTCACATGCAGTTTCACGTTAATTGTGTTTTTGCTGTTTTCCATGTCATTTTTTTTGTCACTTATAACTCGATACAAGGGATTTTATTTTGATCATTTTATGTTATAGCAGGAAGGAGGAAGTAAGGAAAAAACATTTAATTTGTGATTAGTCTTCATTCTGAGCATTGTTTATTCTCAAAGGAATTCATTATAAGCAAAGGCTCCTTCATTTTTCCTCCCAAGACTCATTCCTTCAGAGACGCAGCATAATTATACTCTCTATGTGATGAAGAGCTAGCGTCAGATACCATGAATAACTGATTCCTCTTTCTTCCTGCAGAAGAAGATGACTTTATCCTGCACACGGGTTATTTCCAGCTGTTTTCTTTTGTTCTGTTTTGTTTGCTCCTTTAACTGTTGTTGTTTAATTAACTCCGTCTTAAAGCCACAAATTCACACTTCAGCATTAATTACGCCACGCCACTGTTTATTATTTGCACATATTACACCGTTGCCACGGTTATCGCCACGGCGACACTCAAAAGACAGTCAACTAAATGCAAATGCGAAATGTAAATTCGAGCGGTAAAAAGAGTTAACCCATTGACTAATATTTATCGCTTCTGCGCCGGTATATTTTCTGCTCCCGGCTCCATTTACAAAGTGCCTGGAAATGCAGAGCACCATCTGTGGCAGCACGGGGAACAACTGTTGCTCCTTAAATTAGGCAGCTCCATCATCTTGATGCATCAGTGGAGTACCTGGGCTTTCGGTGACCTTTCCCTCTCCCACAATCAAGCCATCCCCTCCACTAATATAGATGCAAACTCAAGTAGGTCAAGCACCGGGTATAAATCTTCCCTGGCAAGGTGCGGCAACCATGGCCAGACTCGCACCGCGGGCTAGCGTGACAGACCAGGAGCGGGGCCGCGTTCTGGCTTCATGGTGCACGTGTCTGTTCTGCTGCCAGGGGGGCGGGACCCGCCTTGCGATTGGCCGAGGGGCTCGACTCCTGCTTGGTGACCAGTTGGTTGTTAACACTCATTCTGAGAGCAGATATTTGTTACTAGAAAAGGCTGACGCCGTATCCCCAAGTCCTCTGAATGGGGATTTGCTGGAGCGGTGAAAAGCAACCAAAAGAACAGAGGCAGGTGAGCTGATTTACACGAAATGTAGGAGTAACCCTCAAATCCAGCTGGTTGAATTGATTAGTTCTGATGTTATGACAGCTTTGTTATAACTGCATATATGGAAGTCAGGAGGGGGACGGAGCCTGAAGGGAACATCTCCTGGAAGGGTAACGAGTTCTTCAGGGCTGAAGGCTGCAAGCAAGCCAGTCACTTCAGCAGAATGAGAGCATTAGGACCACTGATCTCCTCTCCCAGTTATGTGATTTTCACAGACTAGTGCCTGCATGACTTTAATACACGCTCAAGAATTTGTCATATTTTTTTCATGGAACATCTGGTGGAAGTGTGTGACCTAATGAGAAAAACATTATTACTGAAAAACAAACACACACACACACACACGCTCACACACAATAGGCATCTTATTGAAATGCAGTACCTGATATTTTTCAGAACAAAACCCTAAAACTCAGTGACCGAGGGGAACATTCTGGACAGTTGTAAACGCCTCATTTAAGGCTGTTGGCAGCTTATTGGGGTGTTACAGGCAGGGGGGGAGGGGGGTTCCAGCCACCCCCCGCTACACCTCTGAGAAACAGCGTTCTGCCTCCCAAAACCACACCTGCGGCTGACGCTCTCATCCTGCGAGCTCCCCCCCATTACATAAGCACCATTATTGCCCCCGTGTGGGATGAGGTAATGCCCTGTGAGTGCCGGCTGTCTGCACTGACTCGCTGCATTGTTCACCACCGCAAACAGGAGGCGCTGGTGGACCGGGCCCATCTCAGGTCGTGTGCCTTACTGGAAGTGCTGAAAACAGAGAGCTAGAGTGCTGACCTACTGACTGATATATGGGATCACCTATACGAGAGTAATTAGCTACTCCTTTAACAGGCTGTATCTGTTATATACTTATATACATGCATACTGTATGTAAATGAAATATCTGGTGTACAAATGTTATTAAAGCATAATGGCAGATGACAATTTATATATTCAGTAAAACGATTTAAGTGAATTATTTTTATGTGTTTTGGAGAAATTAAAATTTAAACAAGGGAAAAAACCCCCAAAAAAGCTATTTAAAAAGTTTAATTCAAAGCTTACCCATATTTGTCACAGTGCCCAGCTCAGATCTGTGAAGCAAATGCAGGTATCGATCACATCCAATTTCAATAACTACTTATCGCTCCCAGGAGTGGAACCGAGGACCTGGCTTGACAGCCAGCACATACTGATACGGACACACATGGGAGGATGTCCTGGTGTCCACCAAATGACTATGTAAGCATTTCTAAGTATATGAAATAACCAAATTTAACAGTGTCTGTGCAACAGTGCAGGGAGCTATACATATATAACCCAAACCCTCTGACCTACAAGAGAACCTTAGCCCCCATGAATTGAGCAAAGGTTGTAATATTATTACATGATAAGTGATGCTTACATTATGACATCACCGCCACCCTGTCTAGGGTGTCTGCCTGCCTTGTACCCTTGTACCCTGCACTGCCTGGGATAGGCTCCAGCCTCCCCCCCCGCCCAGGATCACTGGATAGAATATGGGTGGATGGATGGACAGATGATGACATCATGTTTTTTTTGAGTCAGTCTCAGACTGGCACTGTGGCTTGGAGGAGGTCTTCAGGAAACATCTGGAAGGGAGAAGCCTGGACGCAGTGAGATGGCACAGCCCCAGGGCTCACAGAAAGGCATTCAGCTGGAGTTTCCATGGAGACAACAGGGTCACCATCCCGCATGACCCCAGAGTCTGTCTCGCTTCGGCCAAAGTGGGTCTTCCTGCTATCTTGGAAGGTCCTCATCTGTGAAATCCTCACGCTTAGCAGAAATAAACGTTATTTATGAAGTATCACATCAAAGCTTGAGCACTTTGTTGCATCAAATGTGTGAAGTGAAATCCTGATTAGTGACCAAGCAACGAGTTTGGTGGTCCAAACTCGAAAGTGTAACGTAATGAACGAGGGGCACAGATAATGCTGCATTTGCAGAATATTCAGCGATCCCTGCTCACAAGCCTGCGGGGTGAGTGGCAGAGGGCTATCAGGGCCCTCTCAGAGATAAATCGCCCACCATTCACCGGCCGGCTGCGAGGGACCTCCGCTGGGCCCTCCCGTCACTGAGAGTGATGTTTCTGACTCCATTTCGTGCCGTTTGTATAAACGCCTCAGGACACGACGGCGCTAAATGAAATGTAAACCCACAAAGTTCCTAATCAAAATTTACATAATTCATTTGCACGCATTTCCTTGAAAAATGTATAATGTGCAGTGAAGGAGGGGATGAGAAGCTAACTGGCCTAGCAGTGGCTAACCAACAAGTGTCTGTGTCCAGCAGGACTCTCCAACAAAGGTGCAACTGCAAGTTCACTACACAGGTCTAGAAGGTTCTCTACCCATATTCAGTCTGGTGTATGCATTTTCAAACAGCTTGTTGTCACGGTACCCGTAATAGTCTTCATTGGATCCGGAATATCAGTTTTTTGCACTTTCTAATGGATACACAGCTCTCTTTTGATGTTGTAATGAACACTCATATAGGTTTTTTTTGCGTTCTTGGTCAAATTATCGCATGCATGCTAGATTAAGTTCTTTTTTTTTCCGATATATGGTAAACATGAGGCATCACAAACACCCCACAATCCTATTAAGATCGCCCACTGTATGGGGGTGTTCCATACTATAGAAGGTCGCCATAGAGAAATGATTAAAGTTGAACTTAATTAGCTTAAGAGGAAAATGGAGGAATTTCATCTCCCAGCTGTCCATTCCTGCCAGCGTGTGAAATGTTGGTTGAGAAAGGTGGTTTCGTGAAAGAAATATTCCCTTTTTTATGATGGGACAGTATAATGAGGATGTTTCGCTTAACAGATTTAGTTAGAGTGGAAAAAATGAAAATAAGAACACGGGGAAAATCATTTTAGTCAGCCTGGGAAAAGAGGCCCAAGTGTTTGCCAAAGTGCAAAGTGATAGGCAAGCTGGTTTTTACTGTTATCCTGTAAATCAATCCACAACTTGAGGTCATTTTCATTGCCGACCCTGCGGCAAGCCCCGCCTTTACTTCCGTGCATGCGGAAGTGTCCTGCAACAATTTTCAGATGGTGGGTAAACCTCTAAGTCCTATCCGCTCACTCGGCGCCATGCTGTCACAGAGAGAGAAGCAGAGCTCAGCAGAGGTGAATGCCCTCCACGTTAAGTGGCCTTATTGCGTAGGGAATTTGCTCAGAGAGTGTTAGGAAGTGCAGGACACACATTCTTCACCTGCACCCTCCCGCTGACGGTTTTGATCTACAAACTGTGGACAGCAGGACATGCAGCGGGGGCTGGTGACTGCATGTAGAATCATCTCCGCAGGTTAATGTGTCACTGCCATGGGGTCAGCAGTTTGGGGGCGAGACGTCGGCCGCACCTCCTCAGGACTGATGGAGTCTGCATGGGGAGACGAGGAATGAAGGAGCCGATTTGGCTAACAAACTAAGACAAAAGCATGACTGGAAACGGGGAACCCAGTCACCTGACTTTCCCTCCAGAGACTGCTGTAAATCCATGTGTCCATGATTTGGATTCTAATAAGTTAGCATCAGCCATTAGCTGTATCTAACTTTATTAGATGCAATTTACCTATCAGGGTGCAGCAGCTGCACGCAGTTATAGGGCTGCCAGTGTCACTGGAGGATCTCAGAGGGGGCATCAATCAGAGCGAGCCTCGCCTGTACCGCCTGACCGTGAACATGGTGCCAGACAGAATGAGGGAGTCACAACGCGAACGCAGCTATGAATGTTAAGTGTGCTTCAAGTGTTCACTACAGGCAACCCCCCTCTCATTTTCACTGTGTATGACTCTCTCCCCAGCATAGCTGTCAAGTCTTCCGTTTTGGCCGGGAAACTACCGTATTTTACCCCTCTTTCCCGCCGTCCTCCCGTATTAGTATTTTCCCGTAAATCTCCCGTATTTTAATATCATTTAAAGAAAAATTCCTCTGCCTCTCCAAACTGAACTGTCAGTAGCCTGACGAGAACTGCCAGCTGCTGTAGTCTGCAGGTCATTTACAACATTAACCAGGTCATAAATGCGGAGGTTAAAATGGCAATGCCGTGTGCCAAAAACAACGTTACTTTCACCTTCTGTGACGACTTCAACAAGGATACAAAGTCTGCAACAAATCAGTATAATAAGTCATTAGTGAATGCCAGAGAGCCACATGAGTGAACATGAGAAATAGAAATTAAAAGAAAATGTGTAATGAAAATAAAATGTAAATGACAAGTGGTTATTTTAGATTTCTTGTACACCTGTCTTAATGTAAGGGATACTGGAGCTTGGTTGGGGTGGTGGGGTGGCTCGCGGTGGGTGACGGAAAATTTCCCTTATTTTCAAATCCAAAACTTGACAGGTGTGCTCCCCAGGGATAGCCAAGCCAGCGATCACACTGTGAGTTCTGGTTGGAAAGGGCTTGTTTATAATTAGGCTGGTGAAAATTAGTCAATATAGATACTTGTTTGTTAAGTCTTTGATGTTTCAGTCACATGGCAATACTGTTTCTCAGGGCCAACCCAGGTACAGGCCAAAATGCCGCAGTGTTTTCAATCTGAAATAAAAAAAAAACTAAAGAACTGTCCTTATACCACTTTCCATGTCATGAAAAAGAGAAGAGGAAATGACTGTGTAAACTAGACAGCCATGGTTACCATTTTTTCCATGTTTAGTATTAGGAGTGTAATGGTACTCAAAATTCATGGTTTAGTACAAACCTCAAGTTGGGTTTACAGTTCGGTGCAATTTTGGTGAAGCTGGGAAAATGGAATTTGTTCTGAGGTTATTTGTTATTATAGACACAAACAGAATTAGAAAAAGTTGAAAACAAATCTGCCCATCAGCATGTCTGAATAACAAGAGATGCTTATTTGCACGTTGTAAAAAATATATTGAATTTTTAAATTGAAAATACAACGTCATACAAATCGAAATGAATGTTCTCTGCTACTGTAAATGAACGCCTTGCTCCGGTCCTTCACACTTTCAGATGATGTCGTCTTAAACGAATTAGCACGTTGGATGCGTTTTGAGCAATATAGTCGAGTTCGGTATAACAGAGCCAATGGACAATTTTGGTTTTATCAGCTACTCTCTCCTCAGTGTTGGTGTAATTTTATGGGAAATCAAAATGTTCCAAAACGATTATTATGATTATGACTGACGGTAATTAGGATTGGCTGTAACAAACTCACAGCCCCAATTAGCATAATGTTTTTCATGCTGAACATCTACTTGTGAAATAAGGTTCCACTTTTGTCAAGAAATGTGTTCCTTAATTTCATTGTATGTACTGAACCAAAAATGATGCACCAAGCCTGTAATGATATACCAATAATCCCTCCTGGGAGAACATTAAATTGAAGGAATTTAGCCCCTTTTTTACCCGTTCATTCTCTCCCCATCCCCTCTTTTTTGCTTACATTAAAGGAATTTAGCCGACTTTCACCCTAAACGATACCTTGCTGTCATTACGGTTTGTTTGGCCTGGAAATATTTTAACGTCATGAGTTAGGTCAGACTCAACAAGCAGATTGAATATACTTTCCATGGCTGTATGGAATATAGATTCTT